ACACAACATCAATGACTTTATCAACGTAATAAATTAACCATGAGAGACCATTTTAAGTATTGCAAAAGAAAAGAGCTGCCGATAGAGCAGGTGATACTAGTTATCAGGTCAGAGAGATGTCTGGCCCGTAAGCAGGTCTTCTTGTTCATCAATCGGAAATTAAGACAAATCAGGCACTACGGTGAGACGTGAAAACACCAAACACCCGATCCCATTTCGACCTCAATATGTGGAATCGACAGGGCTAAATATTCCTTGACTGGTTCTGCCAACTCAATGATCTATACTTGCTCGAACTGGAATCCTGCCAATTCCAAGTTCTCATCGTGCTGAATTTCTCGCATTGATATAGGGTCTAGCATCGATTCTTCTGGATCTCCAAAGATCGAAAAATTGAATGACTCTCATTCGGAAGAAGGCTTTCTAGTTATCTCTCAAATTAGAGGCATTGAAGCGATCGAGCGCAGGTAACGCCAGTTAGCGAAGTGGCGTTAAACATCCCTAGCAAAGTGGATTTGTGTGTAACCAACTCCAGCTCCGGGAATCCATAAATGGATTTTGAAGAGTAAAACATAATCGAATGAATCGATGTTGTCCATGCCAATGATAGAGTATCTTTCTTCTTCCTGCTATCCCCATGAGGCAGAGCTATCGCTAGTATTAAGTGCTGCGTTAACCAAAGGTAATTTTCCAATAGCTAAATACTCTAATTGTTGAAGAATACAAGCTTGGGGATTGTTAGGTGAGGACAGGATTCGAACCTACAGTCTTCCGCTCATGGGCTTTTTTTTAATGCAATATTATAATTACGGAGTAGAGATTCGAACCTAAAGTATGAACAAATATTTTTAGACCTAAATTTAATTTTGACTATAAAACCAAACGTGGTGAAAATTTGCTAAATTCATTTAATGTCATTCCAAAAGTTCAACTTAACTTGCAAGTTAGCATCTACTCGTTTTAGTAAACATAATTTAAGAGGTTTAGTACAATGTCTTCTCTTAGACGTCTGTGTTTGAAATTTAAATCTTCATATATACATTTGTAGTCTTACTATTTTCTAAGAAAATATTAAAAATTAGTATCGGGTCACAAAATGAGTATATAGAATTACAAAATTGCCTAAATTTAACTAAAAAAGTATCCAAAACCAACAATAAGATCAAGCAAGAAAAGTGAGGAGGAAAAGAAAAACTCAGCATGACTCTGTAGAAACCAACCAAAACCAAAAACTAATACCCACTCAAATAGTTTAATCTAACCTTATTTTTAGAAACAAATAATTTTATTAATAAGTAATAGGTTAAATGTTATCGAGTTTTTAAAATTCGTTGTGTGGGAGACCAGAGAATGGGTCGAGTAAACTCCCACACTTAATGAATCACGCGTTTTTCAAAACATTACTATTCCTGAGTGTAGGAATACAATGAATTCAAAACATCAAACCTTTCATGACTTGACCAGTCACTCGTCCTCGTATTAGAAGATCATCTCACCCTGTGGTCGACATTCCATTTCCCTTAGTCGTAGGTGAAGAGATTAGTTGACTACAGTAAACAGATGGGCGTCTAATTCCAATACAATAAGAGAGGTAGGGGTGCAGAAATAGCCAGGAGGTTTGCCTAAAGCAACTTTCAATTTTATATCTAGTCCATAAATTTTCAATTTTGTATTTAATAATTTTTTTATTTATGAGATATTTTTAAAGTTTAGAGGCTTATTAGGTACCTTCCTAAAAGTAGTTCATAGATCAACTTTTAATTTGACCTAAATAATACCAATTCCCATATTTAATTCTGAGATAAAATTGCATGAAGTTATAAATATGTAACCAACTTATGCATGTCAACTTGAGCAGCTCATGTGATTAAGGCATTTGTCTCCGGCTAAAAAATCAAACGCACTTTTTCGATATGAAAAACATGCGCTCGAAAAGACCTCCTATCCCCCTTGGCCAAGTGATCGAGTTTAGTCAAAATTGGCTCTAGAAGTTGATCCCGCTCCAGACTAAGTGAGAAAAGTACATCTTTTTACCTCTAAGTTTCAAATATTCCCTCCACTAACAGATCTATTTTTTTTTTACAAGTCTATAATGAAAGGATCGTTTTTCTAACCCTTTTTTAGCATAATCGAAAATCAACTTTCAGTAAATTTTGAGAATGAATCGATTCACATAGCTAATAGGCTCTTTTAGTATATGTGGATGTTATTGGACAATTATTATTACGATAGGGTTCCATATCATGGTGTTCATCACATAACGCAATGTAAAGATGAACACCTTTAAATTTTAGACTCTAGCGTGGTTCTTGAAATTTTAGACTCTAACATGGTTTAAACACGAAATCAATATCACAGTGTTCATAATGCAAGATCCTGTTGTCATATGATTATCGCTTAACGCGATGGAAGGATGAACACCACAATCTTAAACCTGATTGCATGGTGTTGTTATCCCAAGAAAAGATCTCGATTGCATGTTTTAAAATCACAATGTTTATCCATGTAATCACGTTAGCCGATGACTCTAAAACTACAATCTTGTAACTCGAATTTGCCAGCGTAACTATCTTTCCGTTTCCGCCAGCGGAGAGACTTTTAAAACTCATGGGCAAAAATACAAGTTTTTGAAGCACAGCAACCAAACGAACTTATAGCCGAAGACTAAGAGACCAGAAATAGCATTTTCCGTAACAAGATCGTGAATTTTAAGAAACAAGGGGAAAAAATTAATAAAAAAATGAATTTTGCCACGAGAAATAAGAAAGTGGGACCCACACGGGGTTGGCAGAAGCTAAATAATGGGGGGGTGGGGCTGTGACAGTGGGGTCCATTTGTACAGGGTGGCAGTAGCTGCACCATAGTCGTACCCGCGCATAATCATTTCCCAGAATTAAGACCAGCCCTAGGCCCAGGCCCACCCAGGCCCATTACTCCCGTCCCGACAAAACCCTGGGCCCCACCCCATAAAACCAATGCTCATGATTACACTCATACGCTAAACGTGATACATACAACCACCACCAGATCCTCCCCCCATCTCTCCGTTTGACCCTTTTTTTTCCGGGTTGGGAAATAAAAGTCCACCCGGTTTGTCCGGTTCGGGATGGAAATAAATCCCTTTTCGGGTACGCAGGCCCGGTTCTCCTTTTATATTTTTATTACCCTTTTTGTGTAAATTCAAATTTCATTCATATTGTTTTTCATTTTTTTTAAGGAGGTGGGATCGGGTACGATGAATTCCAGGGGTACCTGTCCTACGGTGGGCCCTACTTCTGACATTGTCATCACTCCCGCAGCATGGACTTTTTTCCTTTTAATTTAATATTTTCCCTCTTTCTTTTTCTTTTTCTCCTGAATGGTATAATTTTGAAAAAAGATAAAAAAAAAAAAAATCAATTTTATCTGAGTCAAATCTATTCTTTTCCACCCTAAAATTTTAAATTATATATTTGTTTGGATAAGTACCGTAAATTTTAACGATTCAGATAACCAGATTTCTTAGATGTATCTTCCACAATTCAAGATTCAACTTCTTTAAATAGGGAACTAAGTCAAATTCTTCTAAAGGTATACAAACCTCGCATAAGATTAAGCTTCGTCATTGTACAGTGTCGAAAGTTAAAATAAATATTCAAAAACTTAAAAATTTCAATAAAAATTGTCTCTAGTGGTTAATTTTCTACTAAATCCATGTGTTATAATTGGTTAGATGCACATGAAAGTATATATATATATTTTAATGGTTTTTCAATTGAAACCCAAATTGCAACCTTTATTCAAATTTGAGGTGAAATTTTTAATATTTATCTAAATTCAAAATGTAATTGGATAAAATAAAAAAAATTAAGTAAAAAATGATATTGATGGAAATATTTTTGTTGGTATATGTTTTTATAAATGTTAATAAAGATTAGCAGTGTATTAGTTACTCCTTCAAAATTTTGAATCATTTATCAACTTTACATCCAGTTGACATAAAGTCTAACAAATGTAACCGTTATTTCTCCATCTATTCAATTTAACCAAGAAATAAGTGTAACTAAAATTTTTGGAGAGTCATACAAAATTAGATGTTTCTAATTGACATTAACTCGATGCCAACAAACTTTACTAAAGAACCAAACACCATAGA